GATCCGGTCCAGCTTGGGCTCATCCTGAAGCAGGTCCCGCAGCTGCCCGGTGCTGAGGATCCCAAAGCGCCCCGGGCTGCCGGGCTCCGGCCCGCGGCGCCTCCTCGCTGGCTTCCCGCGCGCCTCCGGCTGCGCCCGCCGCGCCCGCTCCTCTGCGCGCCTCGCTCGTTCGGGCTGGGCTTTTCCCCCTCCCCTCCCTTGCTGCTTTCTCTTTGCACCGGGGGGCTCTGCTTTTGGCTTCGCAAAGGTCCTGCCAAGATGCTAAGTTGGAAATTGAGGATTCTGACGCCTTGTGCGCGCCCGAAGCTCCTCCTTCCCGGGGTGTAGTCGGTGGGAGGACTGGCAGGAGCCTCTGCGCGGCCGCAGCCAACCCGGCCGCCCGGCGCGCCTCGCCCTCTCCCTCTTCCTTCCCGGCTCCCTCTCCCGCTCGCCGGCGCCCCCTCGCCCCTCCCTAGCGCCCGCCTCTTCTCCGCCGCCCCCTTTCCCCTCTCGTTACCTCCCCCTTCTTCCCTCCCCGGCCTCCCTCTCCCCCTCTCTTTCAGACTCTAGAGCGCCGGCCCCAGGATGACGATCGCATCCCCAGCGCGCCGGTCCCTTCCAACTTTCCTTCCTCCCGTGCTAACTCGGGGCGGAGCGGCAGCGTGGGCTCGCGGCGGCCCCGATAGCGGGCCGGGCCGCTCTGCAGCACAAAGGGGAAAAGGCCGCGAGCCGGGCTCGGGCGCACGCTCGGAGCTCCGCTCGCCGCGGTTAATCGCACCCTTAGCGGATTCCTTGTTCTCCGGAAGGATGGGCTCCGAGGTGGCTCGGCCCCCGACCCCACCGGCTTCTTCAAGTCAGGGGTCCCCAAAGCGAGGTGTAGACCCAGATTTAAGGTCCCCGGGAGGGCTGGCGGAGGCCCGCGCCCGGGGCCCAGGGAGCCTAGACCAAGGTCCCTTCCTCGCCGCCGCAGCAGCAGGTGGGCGAGAGCCAGGCCTCGGGCGTCTGCAAGTCTCGGACTCGGCTTTCCTTCCTCGAACCCCGTCGGACGACGAAGAAGCTACATTTGGGGCCCAGGACTACCGGGGTGGCCTTTCTCTAGAGGAGAGGATGGGTGGGGGTAGATCTGGCCGGCCCTGAAGTAGCTGCGCCCCAGGGGTTACCCCCGCCCCCACCTCCTCCCCCACAGTCCGAAGCCGCTCTGTGCGAGCTTCCCGGCGGCGGCTCGCCCTGCGGGGTCCTCGGCGGAGGCGGGTGTGGGGTCCCTTTCTCTTTTGTTCAACCAAGTCGCCGTCCTCTTCACAGGCACTCTCGCAACCGCCCAGGCTGCACTGCAAACACTCGGCACAGCAGCGCCCAACCCAACCACTGTTTGTTCAGCGAGGCGCTGGCAAGGCAAACACACACAACTGAGTCACAGGCGCAGCCCTCACCAACCACAGCCACGCAGAATACAAAACAGACCCTCTCCCCGCTTCGCCACCTCCCGCCGCACAAGTCCGCGACACTCGAAGTCTGGGACAGATAGGGGCGCTGGTGAACCAGGGAGAGGCCGGCAAGGTGTAGGGCACGGGGCGAGGCTGAGATAGGTCTGTCACAGACGCTGTAGCCTTGTGGAGTGGGGCTACACGCAGGCCGACGCAAAACTATATAAAAAGTTTCTTGCACAGACTCAGACGAACTGGACACACTTTACTTTCTGAGCTCTTTTCTCGGCACACACTGACTCAGCGCTCATCCTGACACCCGCTCGGCGGCGCGCCTCCACGCACGCGCGCTGACTCTCCCGGGCCTTCGCCCCCGCTCCAGGTTCAACCCTCCCCCCCAGCGGGCTGACCCCTTCAGACTACATTCTCCGAGAACCTCTTGGGCCGCCGAGCTCCCGCCCTTCCATCGTCCTGGCTTCTGACTGGACATTGGCATCTACTTGCTACGCCCCCTAATGACGTAGCCTCGTTTGCTTTGAAGTCCGGGAGCCAAAGGGGCGGGAAAGGGCGGGGCTTAGACTGCGCTATTGTCATGGAGACGAGAAGCCAGAGGCAGCGTTGGCGGGTCCTGCGGGCCGGAAGGGCTGCGAGCCCGCGGAGACCCGAGCGAAACTAAGCCGCCTGGACGCCTGAAATGTGGAGAAGCCTGGAGCCGGCCAGTGGCGGCTGCTCCTGCTCACCCTCCTGGGCTCGGTTCAGGCCGAGGTCGTGGCAAGGAGCGCCCCAGAGCGTCCCCTCCCCGCTGTCTTGCCTCCGCCTCCGCCTCCGCCTCCGCCTCCGCCTCCGCCTCCGCCTCCCGCCTCCCGCCTCCCGCCTCCCGCCTCCTGCCTCTCGCGGCAGCGCAGCGCCTCCGCGCCCGCCTCCGGCTCCGCCCGCAGCCGCTGCAGCTCGTCGCTGTAACGGTCGGTGGCAGCCCGCGTGCGCCGCCCTCCGGGGGCTCGCGCCTGCCACGAGGGAGCGTCCGCGCCCCGCGCGCCCAGCTGCTGAGGAGAGGTGAGCCCCGCCGAGCCGGGTTCCCTGCCTGCTGCTGCTGCGCGGCTCGCCTCCGCCGGGGACAGCATCTCTGTCCCCTCGCGGGCAGGCTGGACGCGGCGCGGCCCTGCGCGTGGTGCGCACCGGCGTCCCGGAGACCCGCCTCGTGGGTGTCACTGTCTGCGGGCTGGCACGCGTGGGCGTGTCTTCCCTGTCCACGAGTGTTCTCTCTATCATTGTCGCCTTTCGTCCGGGACGAAGGTTTCAGAAATGGAGCCATGGAGGTTGGTGCCACCGAGAATCTGAATCTGTCACGCAGACATCCTCATTACATAATCCTGCCACTCCGGGCCACAGGGCTGTTTCTTTTCTCCCCCTTTCCCCACTACCCCATCCTCCCCCCTTTTTTTTCTTTTTGTGTCAAGGACTGGAGAGAATCCTCGAAGATATTGAAACATTTAGAATTTATAGTTCTGTTGCTGTGGTTGTCACCTCTGCTCTACGTCAAATTTAAGACTCATTTCTTAAGGATGTCTCTATTTTCTGCTTTATTTGCACATTGATAGTTACGCTGCTCGGCTGGCCACGGCCGCCCAGCGTCTGAGATAGAATTGTGTAATAAAAGGAACGGTCTGATCATTAGCTAGCAGGCAGGCGGAATTCTGATAGCAGCAAGCGCATTTATACGAAAGCTTTTACACGAAAGCTTTCACATTTCCACCGGCAAACACGAGGTTTTAAATATTTATCTTGATAGCGGTGAGGATCTGTTCTTCTGTCCCTTCACCCTTTCACCCCTCCCTTTCTCTTTTTTATTAATCGTTAGCCTTTGCGTTTGGGAACTTGCTTACTTGTTAGATACAGTTTCATTGGCGGCTCTTTTTCCACGCTCTCGCCCAGGTTTCCAAGGTTGTGGTTTTTTTTCTTGCTTACTCTTGCATTTGTATCATGCTGAATATGTTACCGTACATTAGGACTAGATTTGCTCTGATTGTTCTTAACTTAGGGCTATTACGCTTCATTTTAAAGCTTCTTAAGGGTTTATGGTTTGTCGTGTCTGCACGGAACCAGTTATGCATAACTCTTAAAATGTAGAGCTTTAAAATAAGAGCCGTGATTGTGTAGCCCAGACACGGGGAGCTTGCTCTTCAAGTTTTGTCTGCGCAGTCGTGATTGTTTCAATCAAGTGCCAAAGAGGTTACTCCTGTTTATTTAGTGTAATAGCTGTTTACAGTTAAAACTTTAAAGACTCATAAAAGTAGGTCTGCTGTATTGTAAAGATCTCATCATTCTTGTGGGAGAGACACAACACCAACACTAAGAAAGGCAACAGATTGCTTCTGTCATATCGCTTTGCTGTTTTCGAGTGTACTTAAAGGATTATGATTGATAAGGCTGTCTTGCCTGAGAATGTTGACACAGGTGTGCATCGTTATCTTAATTAAGATCCTGAGAAAATGTTGTCTATAAATGGAGACATAAGAAGGGCGGCATATTTTTGTACAGTTTGGCTTTTGGAGAATTTAATTGCACTTGAAACCTCTCTTTGAGCTTCCAGATTTTGTGAGCAGTTTGGCAACAGAAGTTTTGGAGAGAAATGATAGTTTAATGTTAAGTGTCCAGGCATGTGCTAATACAACTTGTAGCCTTTTGGCAGTACCTTGTGGCAGCTTTCTTTGTACCCTACCTTTGTGGATTAAGGGGTTTTAACTTCAAAAGAAAAGCATGAAATAGAGCAGTATATTGTTAAGCAATCATTCATTGATGTTCAAAGTAAATCTGTATAGGAAAGCACAGTTAATGTAAATATATGAGAAGTGTATGTCACTTAATTTTATGGAAAAGATGGTCTCGTTGAATATTTTATGGTTCTCAATTTCTTTTGCCTGACAAGTACCCAGCTATCGTATTTATGGAATGCTTTTTTAATTTTAGAAATAGAGAAAAACTTGTATTTCTTTCAAAATACTGTTTTGTAAATTTGAACTGATGAGCAAGTAGAGATAATATTTAAAGACTCTGACTCATAACCTGGGTCACCACCAAAATAATGTTACATTTTTTTATTCCAAATCTTGGAATGCAAAAACAATAGCAAGACTGATGGATGCTGTTGATTATATTACCTTAGCTTATCCAGCCCCTAATACCTTTTAACCTAAGTATCACATTCCGATTTACCCCCTCCCCCTTTGTAGCTCCTAATTTCCTGGAAGCTGGCTGGCCATCAGTGTGTGTCTAAGATGTATGTGTATTTTCCTTTAATATTAAAACTCATCGTAGGAGGAAGTGAAAGTGAAGCAGACCTTAGGTATATGATCGGAAAAGCCAGGTGTAGAGTCACAGGTCGTTCTTGACTACCAGGATAATTAGCGAGTTAGAATTACATAGTAAACTAAAATCAAAGGAAGTCTTATTTAGATTTGTTTGCTGAGAGTAAAATGAGAGTGTTAATTTTGAGATAATTGCTTTATTTATCTTCCAACCAACCCATCCAATTTTTCCCCCCTCTGGCAACCATAATACCCATCCTTATGCTATTATCTATGTATTATTTTAAATTTTTTATTTTAGATTAAGAGATGAAGATGAAATAGCAACATAAATTACCTATTGTCATTTTAAAATATAATTAATATTTATACATTCTGGAAATCTCAAAGAATGAATGTGTTCTTTAGTTGACAACGCTGAAGTAAATGAAATCAGGTAATCCTAAATTGAATGAAACATGTTCTTTGAAAAAGATTATGAATTGTGAAATAGCACAACCTGTTTTGAGTGAAAGTATCTCAGTATTTTGATATATTTCTCTTCAACTTCTACAGTGTGTTAACGTCTATATTTTTAGCATCTGTTTGATATTTATTAACTGTTCCATAAAGAATAATTTTTCTTAATAGAACAGCAGCTAGTGCAATTCAAATACCATGTAAAATCTAGCACTGTTTTCCTTGTTCAGTAGTGACAATGGTTTGCTTTCGTAGCTCTGCTCTGAAGTAGGATACTGATGACTTATTTCTACCTAGATCCTCAGTGTTTTCATAGCTGTAGTATACCTAGGCACCAACTTAGCTTAGCAAATTAACTTAGATGCTTCAGAACTGAAAACCAGTATATTCTAACATAGTTTGACTCCAGGTCTTTATTAGTAAGGATGCACTTAACATGTGTTCGGGATAAGGGAATATAATTTTCTTTTGCATTTGCCATTTATGTGATCCATTTTCCTAGCCTTGTCTTGAGCTAATGATATTCCCTACCTTGGTACAGCTTTTATTTGTTTACTTGCCATAATATGGAGAGTAATACCTTAAAGAAAATTAGATTAGATATTCATATGAAACATCCCCAAAGTATTAGTGTTCTGATCATTTCTATTTTCTGTGCAGGTGATAAGTATGATGCTTGTATAATACATTTGGATGTTTTCCACTCAGTTTACTTCCTATGAAGTTCTTCCAAATGTTGGCTGACATTTGCCCTGATGCATCCCACGGCTCATCCGCAAGCGAGTGAGTGTCAGCGCACGGTTGGGGTACTTATGTCTGAAGCAACCCCAAAGCAGCATTCGGTTTGGCTTTAGCAAAACCTTTTTTATTGGTAATAGGGACTGCGTGCACAGTGCTGAGAGCACCTCTCGAGACCTTTGATTATTAAAATTCTATGAATACATTAAGCAGGAAGGCAGTAAATAGAAAAATACACTGAATAATTCATTTATTTTTATTTATCATTTATCCTGAAATTATGTTGAATAATTTATTTTAATGCTATCATTGAGAGTGAAATTTATAAACTCATTGCTTCTCATAAAAATCAAAAGTAAGGCTATAATTTATAGAAAGGGAATTGTTATTTAAATAATACGTTTATACCAATTCAAAGTTTTGGATTATCTTCAATATCTATTTCTTTGAAGAATAAATTTAGTGAGAATATCGGTACCATCCATTGGTACCAAACTCTTAATGACAGAGTATACAGGCAGAAGCAAAACTTGTCCTTTCTCATCAGAAGAGGGTTGTTAAATATAAGTAGCAGGAAAAAAAAAAAAAAAAAACTATGAGAAAGATTTATTTTGATGAAAAAGAATTATTCTCTATTGCGTAATGAGCAAAACAAGGAACTGGAGTTAATGATACTGAACATTCTATTAAGTAAGAAAGATAGTTGTATGACAAAAAAAAAAAGCTAATTTTACACAAGGCAGCTATAGTTAGTACAGCCTTCACTACAGCAAATGCTTCTCTGTGGATACTTTCAAAGGCATTACAGTTATTTTTACCATAATATGAAATGATATTTAATGCATTTATGTCCTCCTATTACTGACTGGGATGTGAAGAAATAGAGTTTCATGTCAAGCTAAGAGCTGAAGCATCATAGCAAGTTAGAAAACACACAATACAAAGAAGCTTTAGCTTTGAGAAATCTGAGTCCTCTTTGTTTATCTTTAGACTTAGTTTCGTATTTTAGTTTTAAACCGTGCATAGAGTTGTTGAATTTAAAACCTAACAGGACCCAGCTTTGTGAATTTTTTTTTCCAAGAATAGATATAGGAAATATCTAAACCTAAGTAAATGTGTTAATTTCTTGTGTTCTCAATCAGATTTATTAAGATTCATATTTAATATATATTGAAAGTATTCAAATGTATTATGACCCTATTCCTTTTCATTAAAGTGATGTGTGAGAGTCCCTTATTATTTTGAAAATATGAGAACATCCTTTGTACAGTTATGGGTTAATTGATTGATTAATTGAGAAGGTTGTATTAAATGTTCTCTTGTGGAAGTAGCTGAAGAGTATGCTTTTTGAGAAATGTATCATCCAGGAATAAAATCAATTGAAGTATTGGTAATTAAATTATAATTCCATGAAGGAAGGAAATGATATGAGAGATGATGCTAACTCTAGGTATTTTTCTCTTTAATAGTCCACGCTTCATAACGGAGCTGCTGTATGCTGGCTATTGGAAGGAGGTGATTCAGAAGATAGGGAGGTAATATTATCTCTTTTAAGTGAATACTTTTCTCTGTAACCTGTAGCCTTTATTACCTATAGAACTTTGTTCACTAGGCAGCAGTTTCTTTAAATTTGGGATTTGGGGACTACCTTACTTTCCTCTGCTAAGTTTTTGAGCCTGCTTCCCTGAGGGCGATGAGTTGTATTAGGAGAGCAGAGAAATATTATTTCTGCATACTCAGCACCCTTAAAATAGCTTCTTTCTCAGAATTAGATCTGTGATGGTGTCCTGCACAGTTCTAGTGGGTGACACTGT